AGAATTTCCCCCAGCTTTAACTGGAGTAAATTCAAGGAACAAATCAGCATGTTAGAAACAGCAGTACCTCACATTACATCCATTTTTTTGTAACCCGGCCCCGGGGCCGGCAGGTCCCGAGCGGGGTTGCCCCGGGGCCGGCAGCGCTGGGGACCGGACCGGCCGCGGAGCGTGGGCGCCCTCCGGTGGCCACCGGGAGGGGTGACAGAACCACGCCGGAGCTCGCCCACCCCCAGTTCAGGTTTTTAGGGAACGGGCATAGCCGAATTACATCAACTCGCGTTATTACATCAGCTAAATTATATTTATCTCATGGCATTACTTATTTATGGAAATAACTCTGGACCCGTGCAGTGTGGCCCTTTAACCCCACGGCAGCTGGGGCCACACATCCCCGCTCCCACTCCCCCCAGTTGGGATCGGGGAGAGAGTAAAAGTGAGGAAAAAAAACCTGAGATAAAAACAGTTTAACAAGCAAAGCAAAACAAGGAATTCACTCACAGCTTGCCACGGGCAGGCAGGTGTTCAGCCATCCCCAGGAGAGCAGGGGTCCATCATGTGTAATGGTTACTGGGGAAGACAAACACCGTAAATCCAAACGTTTCTCCCTTCCTTTTTCTTCCCCCAGCTTTATATACTGAGCCTGATGTGATGTGGTATGTGCAGGTGTTCAGCCATCCCCAGGAGAGCAGGACTCCATCATGTGTAATGGTTAATGGGGAAGACACCTTAAATCCAAACATCTCTCCCTTCCTTTTTCTTCCCCCAGCTTTATATACTGAGCCTGATGTGATGTGGTGTGTAATCATAGAATCATTTTGGTTGGAAGTGACCTTTAAGATCATCAAGTCCAACCATTAACCTAACACTGCCAAGTTAGTACTAAACCATGTTCCTCAACATTCTTCCCCCAGCTTTATATACTGAGCCTGATGTGATGTGGTGTGTAATCATAGAATCATTTTGGTTGGAAGTGACCTTTAAGATCATCAAGTCCAACCATTAACCTAACACTGCCAAGTTAGTGCTAAACCATGTTCCTCAACACTGTATCTACCCATCTTTTAAATACCTTCAGGGATGGTGACTCAACCACTTCCCTGGGCAGCCTGTTCCAATGCTTGACAACCCTTTCAGTGAAGAAATTTTTCCTAATATCCAACCTAAACCTCCCCTGACACAACTTGAGACCATTTCCTCTTGTCCCAAATATCCCTTTGGTCAGCTGGGGTAAGCCGTCCCAGCTGTGTCTCCTCCCAGCTTTTTGTGTCCCCCAGTCTGCTTGCTGGTGGGCTGGTGTGAGGAGCAGAAGAGACCTTGACCGCTCAGAAACAGCCCAAAAACATCAGTGCGCTACCAATAGTATCCTCATCTCAAATCCAAAACAGAGCCCCACAGCAGCTGCTAAAAAGAGAGTCAACTCCATCCCTGCCAAAACCACGATATGCAGTCGAAGTTACCACCACTCTGGACAGCTATTATGAACATAATTGAAATATTTCAGGTTCCCAATATTTGACTTTTATGAAATTTGTGTTCAGACATCACCATTCAGTTGTAAGTACTGCTCTCTCTGTCACAAAAGCAGAGGTATCCCTTTAGAGCAGTGACATGGATACATATGCAGAGGGAAAAGGATCACATGGAAAAAAAGCTGCTGAGGGAATACCTGGGCAGTGCAGATAAGTTCAGTGAAAAAATCAGCACGTTAGAGCTGGCCACTGCGCAGACTAGACCCACTTATTTATCATTCAAATAGCTTTTCTGCCATCGCAAACGTTGAAGGCATATGCTGCCAGAAATGAGGGTTTATCATTGCCTGCTGGCCCGAAGCTAGTGCTGCTCCACACTGAATGTTTCTTAACTTATGTGACTGCAGCTCCTCACTGGAAGGCACCATCCACTTCAGAAAGGAGGAGTGATCTGTCCTCTGCTAACCCTGTTCACAGCTGAGATCGGTTCCAGTCTTTAAACCGCAGCCAGCTGTGCTCCTCCTGAGTTTGCTAATTTGGAAAGCCAAAAGCAACATCAACACCTGTGGAACATGGAACACGAGGGCCTCTAAGTCCTCCTTCTGTGAGTCATCATCAGCCATGAAAGCAACGCCTCTCACACAACGTGCAAAGCACTTAATGAAGAGCATCACACAATAAAAATCATATCACGTCAGGGAATGAACTGCCTTGTTAGTGTCTACCAGAGTTACTACAATGACTGTCAAGGCAATCATGATTGTACCGGGGCTCTCTCTGCACAAAACCCCAGGAAGATGTTCCTGCTCAATTACTCTTCTAAAAAGAGCGCTAACAAATGGGAATGCTCTTGATTGAAAGACATCACTATCCCTTTCTCAGAATTTCCCCCAGCTTTAACTGGAGTAAATTCAAGGAACAAATCAGCATGTTAGAAACAGCAGTACCTCACATTACATCCATTTTTTTGTAGTATTTGGAAGTGTTTTTAAGTTTGTAAAGGTTAAAGACATGGACTGCCAGCTGTCATGGCTTGTCATCAGCTGAAGTCTTCCGTGTAAGGTTTTTGCTTTTGGTCAATTGACTTTATAACCTTGTAATTCTACTTTTTATCTAGCAGCCAAAGTCATAGTAACCTTTCCAAGACTAGTGACAAGCACATTTGCTATGTTACAAAACTCCCGTGGTTTGTTTTTGCAGAAGTCCAGCATTACCACATGCTGTACCAGTACAGATCCTTCTGTAGGAATATGTACCTGCCTTCCTTTTGAAATCTGCCCTGTGATATCCCAGGGGTTTATTTGGGATCTTTGTGGTTTTAACAACTAAATCTACAATAAAATTTCCTTCCCCAAAGGTGAATTATCTGCAATAGCTACTCCCTCTTCTGTCAAGAAGGCAGAGGGACTGCAGAGAGGCTGGCAGAGGCTGCCTAAGGAGACCTCAAGTAAAGTTAGGACTTGCTGATCACTGGGGATGACTGCTCTCTCTGCCACGGGTGCCAGCACACACCAGCTGAGGAAGCAGCACAATTGGAGCAGAACTGGAGGGAGGGTGTGAAAAGGGCCCCAGGTAACACTGGCACAGAATAGAAGAATCAGAGCCAGCATTTTCTTCCAAACTCTGAAGCAGAATCCAGGATTCTCACATCTAAACCTTCACCTGGGACTTTGCAGAAAGTACTGGTGAAACTTCTGGGTAGTGCTACACCTTTATTCTTTCTAGCCCCTAAAGACAAAGAAATAACTATGACTATATATCTTCATGTAGAGGATAACCAATACCCTTTTAGGATGAGATGACTGTTTACTCTATTTTGCTGCATCTTTTTCAAAAAGGGAGAACATTCAAGAGATATTTTCTATAATAGAGATTTGCAAGAAAACAAAGTTAACACCTCCTTGACAATCTTAGTCTGTTAAACAGACTTAGCAGTCTTCATCCCCTCCTTCAATCACTGACACCTCACTCGTGGCTCTTGTTGGCCCCATGGTTTGTGTGCAATGCCTTCAAAGCAGACACTGAAGCTCCACTACCAAGCAGTTACCCTGACCTTTTGCAGTGAAAACCTTTTGGCTTCTACCTGGAAGGAATGAAAACCAGCCACACAGAGAGCCCTGTGTGACAGCCCCAGGATGGTTCATTAAAAAAAAAAAAAAAGCATTAATTAATGGGAAGCACAGCTTTAAGCAAACAGCAGTGATCCATAAGACGGTTTCGGGGGCAATTCAGACAGTTAGCAAACCATGGCACTGAGCAGCTCACAAATAAGATACTTCACCTTGTTCGCATCAAACGATAGCTGTTCGATACCTGCAGACTTTCCAAGCAGTCCCCTTGAGCCCAGCAACGAGTTGTGAGAGTTTCTCTGGTGGTCACCAGGGAAACTACAGACCTGTTCTGCATGCAGTCAGCCTTCCAGAGACGAGGTGATTACCAGGCACTATCACAGGAAAAGACATCCCAAGACTTATTTCCCTAGGTAGAAATTGCATTACTGGTGCATATGAAAGGATAAGCTCCTAACTCTGCAGAGGCTTCCACAGTTGGCTCAGCTGGCAAAACCACTCTCAAGTTTTCTGAAGCTTTGAGTTCAAACACGTGTTTTTATTTGATCTGTGCTATACGATTTAAACCTGATTAAATCTAACACCTGAAGGGAAAGTTTAAAAATAGATGAGATCTTGTTCTCTCCTTTGGTAGATATCCGGAGAAAAGTAGTAAAATGCAATAAATTGCAACCAGTTTAAATATTAGCTCAAAAATGTCATCAGTTGTGAGTTTTTTTTGAAACTCAGTCACTTTTGAATTTAATCAAAATGTTTTTGAAAATGGTAACAATAATGTTAATTCCCAGTGATAGAACGACAAATTAATTTTTAATTAAATGATAAAAAAATCAACATTGCTGTTATAAGGGAAGAAAAGAAACGTGCTAGTTTTGAAGTTGATAGGAAATAGTTCTGTGATAACAGAAGATCAAAGATGGCATAGTCTAATTAAAATATAAAATGCTTCATGAATATCAAAGGGATACCTACAGCTCTGACAGACATTGTCAGGTAATAGCACAGGCAGCTGAATTCTTCTAGAATCATCTTTGCCTCCACTGGCTCCACACTCTGTATTTTGCCACAGTCTGTATAGGAAATCAAATGCAAAGCTGGGAACTGAACCTGGTTTTACTGTCAGAGCTCCTCCTAGAGAGTGTAGAAGTTTTGCTGATGTTATATCAGTCTGTTGTTAATTTGAGCAACTCAAGTCTGAACAAAAAGTAGTAGTATTAGAGCTCGCTAAAAATTGCTCTTTAATCTTAAATACTGTCCTTGTTTTCTGTCTTCTCCCTTTCCACACCTAGAAGCTCCCCCAGGTACAGAGGATACTACCTGGCTTCTGTATAACAGAAATGTCCCATAACAAGGCTGAATTCCTGATCAATTTCAGCTCCTTCCACTTTAACCACAACTATTTAAGTCAAGTAATAAAACAAAAAGAAAAATCAATAATCAAATTGTGCTTCTGTTTCAGATGGATACACTACTGATGATATTGAGTTTTACTGGAATGGAGGAGAGTCGGCAGTAACGGGAGTTAATAACATTGAGCTCCCACAATTTTCTATCGTTGATTACAAGATGGTATCAAAGAGAGTGGAATTCACAACAGGTAAGCACTGGCTACTTGAAAAACCTCCCCTCCCCTTCCCCGACCCAGAAATATCAGTGTCTAACTTTTGCTAGGCATTAGTCATTATATGACTTCTTTCTTTCAGGAGCGTATCCCCGATTATCGCTTAGCTTCCGGCTTAAAAGAAATATTGGATACTTCATTTTGCAAACCTATATGCCTTCCACACTGATCACAATTCTGTCGTGGGTATCTTTTTGGATCAATTACGATGCCTCTGCAGCCAGAGTTGCTCTAGGTAACTTCTTTTCAAACTCACTGAACTACACAGATACTTAGTGCCTTTGAATAGAGTAGCACTAATTCCATCCAGCTGATTGCAGCAGCATTAATTGTGATCTTACACATGCAGCGTAGGGTCTTCATTGTCAGGAAGGCAGGCAGGTGTCACCCTGCTTTCTGCAGTTAATTTGGGAGCCTGACTTCCAGCCATTTTGTCCCTCTATTTTTTCCCACCTCTCTGTAAATTCAACTCATTACACCTGTGCCTAGAGCTATTCTCTAGATGCACTAATGACATGGGATTGCAGCAGACTAAAAAATTAATTTCATCCAGTTGAAACAAAACACACAAGAAAGAAAGAATCACATAAGTGACGGATAACACAATGAGATAGAAATGCTTTACCTGCAATGCTACCTGCTTTACCCTTTAATAGGAAAACCTGTTTTGGCACAAGTAGATATATCACTTGGTCTTCATCAAAGATCATCACTTTATCATAAAGCTTCCTGTTTTCCTTTCAATCCTCTGTTTTCCATCAACAGCTAAATACTTATTCCAGTTCCCCAGAGCAATGCAAGCCACCCTGTGGGGTCAAGCAGGGCTACTGCTGTAAATAGAGAAGCATTTCCTCACATAGAAAGACCAGTGATCAACTCTTTGCTATCCAGGTCAGCTAACACCATCTTTCCTAGCAGAGTTATTGTAAAAATTAAGGAAAGATGTTTCAGGATAGCCTGGGATTTTGGAGGCTATTTCGTTCATCCTCTATTGCATGGAAAGCCAAGAAAGGTGCTACCAGCAGGCCTGCAGGGATATCTTCCTTTCCATTCCAGCAAAAAATCATTCCCTTGGCTGTTAAGAATCTGATCCCATAGTTAATCCATCTGCATGAGAAGTGCACGGTAGCTGGGCAATGCTGCCATTACACCTTCCACGCTCAAACCTCCTTCCTGGTCTTCTTAGTCCATGTCTTCTTCTTCCTTTCACAGGAATCACAACTGTGCTGACCATGACCACCATCAGCACCCACCTCAGGGAGACATTGCCAAAGATCCCTTACGTCAAGGCAATAGATATTTACCTGATGGGGTGCTTTGTGTTCGTGTTCCTGGCCTTGCTGGAATACGCCTTTGTAAACTACATATTCTTTGGGAAAGGACCCCAACGTCAAAAAAAGGCAGCAGGCAGGGCAGGACACGCTACGGGCGAGAGGGGCAGACTGGAAACAAATAGAGTCCAGGTAAAACGTTCGAGCTAACATTTTAAGCATTATTTCTGCTGTGACAATGTTGATGTATATAACAATAGAGATAAATGCAGTTTGAACACACATGCAAAAGCATTTAAGATTGTCTAAGGAAAAATTGCATTTTAAGGAGATTACAGCAACATATGGTTTGTTTCGTCTTCAACTGAAAACAGAGTAAGAAACTACAGAAAATGCAAATGAATATTCAGCACAAGCATTTCTTTGCAGCACAGAATAAAAACAAGGGGGAAGTTAAATATTTACCATTTCAACTGTATTTTTCTTTGCTATAGAAGGTGGTATGTAATAAATATTTATTCTAGAGTTCCTCTTTACCCACAGAAACTTCACCAAAAATAGAAAGCAAAGACAGACACTGTTGCTTCAGTGAGTCTTGAATGAAGCTCACGCCACTCAGCTTCCAGGAACACAAGGAGGATGCTGCTAGGTTCTAACAGCTTCCACAGATGTCAGGATTTTTCCCTCAGCCTCAACTCAAGCAGACCACAGCTCCCCCCTTGTAAAAAACAAGCCAGACAAACTCCAGGAAAAAAAATACCATGGGCACTTTTTTAACAGAGAAAAATTTAATTTAGCAGTACGTCACCAAGTACTCGCAAACTTCTATAAACTTATTCTGCTTTTCCCCGTTTTTCAGAAATAAACACCTCCCTGAGCTGTATTTAGTTCAGTCTGACTCAGAAGAAAATACATACCCTAATGAGACAAAATTTTTCTTCTGTTCACTGCTTTTCTTACAATATATTACATCCAAGTATTAATGAGCTTTTACCCAGGCTGTCCTATAAGCTTCTGTACCGTTGTACCGACACATAAAACTCTAACAGGTAAGGCTTTAGCTTGATGGATGGTGGTGATTTCACATACATGCCAGGAAGTGCATTTCAGAAACTCTGTGCTACTTTGTTAGTTCTAGAGTTGTGGGTCTTGTGTCCCTGCAGCCACACCACTACAGCTAAATATCATTAACAGAGTCATCGTGTCATTGGTTTCAGTGAACTCAGGAGCCCATTAAAAGTCCTCATCCACACTTGCCCCCTGTACCAATGTGTAGGAAACGTTTTATGACAGTGGGTGCACAAATTCAGTTCAGGTTTGCAGCAGTCTCCCAAGATCCCACAAAGTGTTGTCCTCCACAGAGCAGAGGAGACAAGCCACCCTGTTACGGATTGTGGTGTACAGACACTGTCTATCCACTTCTATGGAAGCTAAGGAAGGGGAAAAAACCCCAACAAAACCCAAAAACTCTGACCAGCCACCTCAACAGCTCCTGAGATAACCCAGCCTAGGTGAGAAGCAGCACAGCAAAGGTTTACGACGAAGAGGGAAGCCACACTTCTTCAGAGGTCAGCCTTGGCTCCACAGGCCCCAATGCTCTGAACTGAGTAAAGGATGAGAAAATGTAAAGGATAAGAGTGCAGGTAAGCTCTTTTTCCTACATATTTGGAGAGTTTGTTTAACTAACGAAAAGCCCTAACTCATGACTAAAAGCTTTTGTCTAAATGTTACAGTGGCAAAGATTATGCTGAGACCAGGACTCAGAATGTGATGGAAAGAATTCACAACCACACCTAAACTTTTCAGAGCACCACACGCATAAACTGGCATTTTTTCTGACAGAAAATGGAAGGCATACAAGCTTTGTGCCAGGATTTGTAAGTGTTCACACTTTAAACTGCAATTCCATTCTGAGAATGAGAATGCTTTCAGCGAACAGACTGCTTTCTGCCTGTACAGTGCAGGGTTGTGATTTTAGATACTTTTATATATATATATACACACACATATGTATGGGTATTTATGGATTTTGTTGTCCCACTGGAGATACACTCATGTGGAACCTTGTGAGCATTCATTTTACTCAGCATGGAAATGCTGGTGTCCAACAGTGTATTTCTGTCTTTGGCAGGAAGAATGCATGCGACCGGAGCAATGGGACACAGGAAGGTTACGGGATCTCCAGTGAAAACAACTCCCAGCCCCTCTCCACCATATTTTGAGGTTTTTCACTGGTATTATGATGTCTGTACCTGAGCAGGGGAAAGGTTTTTTTCAGAGCACAAAAGTAGTACAGCTGTAAGTATATATACAGCTATAGGATATTTTTTCCCCTTTTACTCTTGACCCATACCACTTATCCATAGAGGGACCTATAACCAACGGAAGGTATGTAACAGTGTTTCCTCTCTTTGTGCCAGGTGAAGATATTGCTCATTCCCTTCTGACATTCAACTCCTACGACTAAAAAAGTTCAGGTTCCTTCACCAGGTAACAAAAGTTTTAGACACGTCAGCGGCACTCAGCAAACTGATCATGATATTAACACAGTACAGAGAAGATCAGATGGAAACCATACTGCTGTTTCATATGCAGCTGTTCCTTGCTCTACAAACTGAAGAAGGTGGAACTAAAGCCTCTCCGGTTTCACAATTTATGCTATTTTCATTTTTAACATGCAAAAACCAATTAATTTGTAGTGAACAATCTTTCTGTTTCTCTAAATAAAGCATAAAGACTGTTTATATCTCTTTGTCCATTTGTCAAAACGATATGTCAAAACGATAGTATGGGGAAACCACCATAATTATGGATAAATAGGACAAACTCACCCAGCAAGAAAATATTTAGATAGTCCATGCAGGCAACCACTTGTCTCCCCAATTATCATGTGACTAGTCACTACACAGAAGACATTTCTTAAGCACGAGGAAGAGGTAGGATGCAATCATAACATGAATGGAAACAAGGTTGAGCCATCAAGGGGTTCATAAATGGCCACACATGGCAGGGGACAGATGGTCTCCTGCTCCCCAGTTCTGCACAGCATCACATGTTCCCTTCAAACCTTCTGTGCACCACAAAATACCTGGGATGGAAGGCCAAAGACCAGTCTCAGGGTCTGAGGAAAACATACTTTTCTCCAGTACAGCGGCTACTGGAAGGAAAGGAGAGAGCACATCACCTCACAACCAGCTCAACCTTCAAATCCACACCTGAATAAGTATACCCCCGCTGAGCACAACCTGCTTCTACACAGATCAGATTGTGATAACACCACTGCATTTGTTCCGACAAGACAGCCTGTATGAGTAACATGGCCCTGAATCTTTCATCTTAAAAGAAAAGATTTTTTTCTACTGAGACAAAAGTTCTTACCTTTTATCTCCCAAAACTTAACACACACACAAAAAAATATGTAGATAAAAATCCATTCTAGACAGCACTGAGCATTTGAGACTCATCTTCTATCAAGGAACACCAACATGCTCTTCCCCTGGAGCTGACTGACTATATTTTATGTGGTCAATACAGAACTGCTGTTCTCGGGTATTTTTATCACTATAACTATTTCACTCTTACAGTATCATTTGATGTTCCTAACCAGGAACCTCAGTTTCTAAGTAAACATACAAGCCAGATTGTTATCTCTTTTTATGATGTTTCCTGAGCACACATCAAGGCTTTTCTATCACTGATGAAGACTCATACGTAAGTACCTGTGCTGATTTAGGCTTTAGGTAGTTCCAGTGCAAATGAAGAATTAAAAATCTACAACCTCAATATAGATACACACTTAATATAGATGCAAGTGTCATTACAAGAAGCATCACCACAAATGCATCTGAAAAATATTTAAACTTCATTATACCAGATGACTAACACAACATCAGCTCTAGATGCATTGACATCCTCCTCACACATTCTTCATGATATGTTCAGAAGACAAAAAAAAAAAAAACAACTCTTCAGCTTTCCACAACTTTATGGAAAATTTATGCATTGTACAAACAAGGCAAAGTGTATATGTTCATGCAAACACACATTTAGGCTCAGAATACCTGTTAAGCAAGAAACATTATTTTCATCTGAGCAATAGTCGGTTTATGTAATAAAATTCATGGCATTCCAGTTAAAGAACAAGGTGGTATTTGAAAGAATCAATGCATTCTATCCAAGCAAGGAAGAACTGCTCTGGATTTGATGTGGCTTATCTTTCCTACCAAAGGAGGGGACTGAGATACTCTACTCCTAAGTAGGTAGCCAGCTAGTCTCTTTCAGGAATCTCTTAATTTGTACATTTTCCAGATTCCTATGGAAATTTATAGAATTCCTGTGCTTCAGTAACAAAACCGCAGCTGCACGAGTTTTAAGAATAATTTGGAGTGAACTTCAGTAAATTCTGAAGGGGTTTTAACGATATGGGAAGTTAACTATTAGTCCAGTTTCATGTTGCGCAAGCAGTCAATTTGACCCAGGTACTTAAGAAGGCCTCGTCTGCTTCTCTGAGCTAATTTATTCAAGATCACTACGACTAAAAAAGTTCAGGTTCCTTCACCAGGTAACAAAAGTTTTAGACACGTCAGCGGCACTCAGCAAACTGATCATGATATTAACACAGTACAGAGAAGATCAGATGGAAACCATACTGCTGTTTCATATGCAGCTGTTCCTTGCTCTACAAACTGAAGAAGGTGGAACTAAAGCCTCTCCGGTTTCACAATTTATGCTATTTTCATTTTTAACATGCAAAAACCAATTAATTTGTAGTGAACAATCTTTCTGTTTCTCTAAATAAAGCATAAAGACTGTTTATATCTCTTTGTCCATTTGTCAAAACGATATGTCAAAACGATAGTATGGGGAAACCACCATAATTATGGATAAATAGGACAAACTCACCCAGCAAGAAAATATTTAGATAGTCCATGCAGGCAACCACTTGTCTCCCCAATTATCATGTGACTAATCACTACACAGAAGACATTTCTTAAGCACGAGGAAGAGGTAGGATGCAATCATAACATGAATGGAAACAAGGTTGAGCCATCAAGGGGTTCATAAATGGCCACACATGGCAGGGGACAGATGGTCTCCTGCTCCCCAGTTCTGCACAGCATCACATGTTCCCTTCAAACCTTCTGTGCACCACAAAATACCTGGGATGGAAGGCCAAAGACCAGTCTCAGGGTCTGAGGAAAACATACTTTTCTCCAGTACAGCGGCTACTGGAAGGAAAGGAGAGAGCACATCACCTCACAACCAGCTCAACCTTCAAATCCACACCTGAATAAGTATACCCCCGCTGAGCACAACCTGCTTCTACACAGATCAGATTGTGATAACACCACTGCATTTGTTCCGACAAGACAGCCTGTATGAGTAACATGGCCCTGAATCTTTCATCTTAAAAGAAAAGATTTTTTTCTACTGAGACAAAAGTTCTTACCTTTTATCTCCCAAAACTTAACACACACACAAAAAAATATGTAGATAAAAATCCATTCTAGACAGCACTGAGCATTTGAGACTCATCTTCTATCAAGGAACACCAACATGCTCTTCCCCTGGAGCTGACTGACTATATTTTATGTGGTCAATACAGAACTGCTGTTCTCGGGTATTTTTATCACTATAACTATTTCACTCTTACAGTATCATTTGATGTTCCTAACCAGGAACCTCAGTTTCTAAGTAAACATACAAGCCAGATTGTTATCTCTTTTTATGATGTTTCCTGAGCACACATCAAGGCTTTTCTATCACTGATGAAGACTCATACGTAAGTACCTGTGCTGATTTAGGCTTTAGGTAGTTCCAGTGCAAATGAAGAATTAAAAATCTACAACCTCAATATAGATACACACTTAATATAGATGCAAGTGTCATTACAAGAAGCATCACCACAAATGCATCTGAAAAATATTTAAACTTCATTATACCAGATGACTAACACAACATCAGCTCTAGATGCATTGACATCCTCCTCACACATTCTTCATGATATGTTCAGAAGAAAAAAAAAAAAAAAACAACTCTTCAGCTTTCCACAACTTTATGGAAAATTTATGCATTGTACAAACAAGGCAAAGTGTATATGTTCATGCAAACACACATTTAGGCTCAGAATACCTGTTAAGCAAGAAACATTATTTTCATCTGAGCAATAGTCGGTTTATGTAATAAAATTCATGGCATTCCAGTTAAAGAACAAGGTGGTATTTGAAAGAATCAATGCATTCTATCCAAGCAAGGAAGAACTGCTCTGGATTTGATGTGGCTTATCTTTCCTACCAAAGGAGGGGACTGAGATACTCTACTCCTAAGTAGGTAGCCAGCTAGTCTCTTTCAGGAATCTCTTAATTTGTACATTTTCCAGATTCCTATGGAAATTTATAGAATTCCTGTGCTTCAGTAACAAAACCGCAGCTGCACGAGTTTTAAGAATAATTTGGAGTGAACTTCAGTAAATTCTGAAGGGGTTTTAACGATATGGGAAGTTAACTATTAGTCCAGTTTCATGTTGCACAAGCAGTGAATTTGACCCAGGTACTTAAGAAGACCTCGTCTGCTTCTCTGAGCTAGTTTAATCAAGATCAGTGTAAGGTCCTTTGCTCTGAATTGCAAAGACTGCAATTCAAAAACTGAATTACTTCATGATATATACAAATCATCCTGCCAAAAATGATTTAAATAAAACTCATTTTAAAATAACAGGTTCATTCATAACACTTAAAGCGGGAATTCATATGCTGCTTGGCTTACAATAAACTGAGCAGGCATATTAGTTTAAGAAACATCCCCATGAATCACTTTCCATCGTAGGCAGTTATGAGTTGTCTTCACCAAAAAAAAAGCCATAACAACTGCTTAATGATGCCTGCACTACTGTTACTACTATTATAACACTAAAGTCAATTAGCGTAAACGTTAGATTATGTAATCAGACAACTCAAAGAGCTATTTTGTAAAACTGGGAAGAAAAGGTTGACCTATCAACACTTCTAAGAATTAAAAGTAAAAATCTCTTTTTACACAGAGACAGCTCTGAGGTCATTGCTTTTTCCACACAAAATGTCAGAACTTAGGAGTAATGAATACTCCCCTAGTTATGTCAGTCCCCTGGAGAGCAGGAAACTCTCGCTTAGATCTTCCTTCTGCTTAAATTTGAACACTTGACCTAAAAAGTATAGACTAGGTAGCCCATCTCTCAAGTAAAGAATGCAAACACCTGCTGGTTTGACCAGCTGGACTATTTAACCCAGAACATGTGAGATTCTCCCACCAAAACAGTGATGAGAACTGGGGTGTTCCCACTGAATGCTCAATTCAGCATGTACAGATTAAGGAGATTACAGCAACATATGGTTTGTTTCGTCTTCAACTGAAAACAGAGTAAGAAACTACAGAAAATGCAAATGAATATTCAGCACAAGCATTTCTTTGCAGCACAGAATAAAAACAAGGGGGAAGTTAAATATTTACCATTTCAACTGTATTTTTCTTTGCTATAGAAGGTGGTATGTAATAAATATTTATTCTAGAGTTCCTCTTTACCCACAGAAACTTCACCAAAAATAGAAAGCAAAGACAGACACTGTTGCTTCAGTGAGTCTTGAATGAAGCTCACGCCACTCAGCTTCCAGGAACACAAGGAGGATGCTGCTAGGTTCTAACAGCTTCCACAGATGTCAGGATTTTTCCCTCAGCCTCAACTCAAGCAGACCACAGCTCCCCCCTTGTAAAAAACAAGCCAGACAAACTCCAGGAAAAAAAATACCATGGGCACTTTTTTAACAGAGAAAAATTTAATTTAGCAGTACGTCACCAAGTACTCGCAAACTTCTATAAACTTATTCTGCTTTTCCCCGTTTTTCAGAAATAAACACCTCCCTGAGCTGTATTTAGTTCAGTCTGACTCAGAAGAAAATACATACCCTAATGAGACAAAATTTTTCTTCTGTTCACTGCTTTTCTTACAATATATTACATCCAAGTATTAATGAGCTTTTACCCAGGCTGTCCTATAAGCTTCTGTACCGTTGTACCGACACATAAAACTCTAACAGGTAAGGCTTTAGCTTGATGGATGGTGGTGATTTCACATACATGCCAGGAAGTGCATTTCAGAAACTCTGTGCTACTTTGTTAGTTCTAGAGTTGTGGGTCTTGTGTCCCTGCAGCCACACCACTACAGCTAAATATCATTAACAGAGTCATCGTGTCATTGGTTTCAGTGAACTCAGGAGCCCATTAAAAGTCCTCATCCACACTTGCCCCCTGTACCAATGTGTAGGAAACGTTTTATGACAGTGGGTGCACAAATTCAGTTCAGGTTTGCAGCAGTCTCCCAAGATCCCACAAAGTGTTGTCCTCCACAGAGCAGAGGAGACAAGCCACCCTGTTACGGATTGTGGTGTACAGACACTGTCTATCCACTTCTATGGAAGCTAAGGAAGGGGAAAAAACCCCAACAAAACCCAAAAACTCTGACCAGCCACCTCAACAGCTCCTGAGATAACCCAGCCTAGGTGAGAAGCAGCACAGCAAAGGTTTACGACGAAGAGGGAAGCCACACTTCTTCAGAGGTCAGCCTTGGCTCCACAGGCCCCAATGCTCTGAACTGAGTAAAGGATGAGAAAATGTAAAGGATAAGAGTGCAGGTAAGCTCTTTTTCCTACATATTTGGAGAGTTTGTTTAACTAACGAAAAGCCCTAACTCATGACTAAAAGCTTTTGTCTAAATGTTACAGTGGCAAAGATTATGCTGAGACCAGGACTCAGAATGTGATGGAAAGAATTCACAACCACACCTAAACTTTTCAGAGCACCACACGCATAAACTGGCATTTTTTCTGACAGAAAATGGAAGGCATACAAGCTTTGTGCCAGGATTTGTAAGTGTTCACACTTTAAACTGCAATTCCATTCTGAGAATGAGAATGCTTTCAGCGAACAGACTGCTTTCTGCCTGTACAGTGCAGGGTTGTGATTTTAGATACTTTTATATATATATATACACACACATATGTATGGGTATTTATGGATTTTGTTGTCCCACTGGAGATACACTCATGTGGAACCTTGTGAGCATTCATTTTACTCAGCATGGAAATGCTGGTGTCCAACAGTGTATTTCTGTCTTTGGCAGGAAGAATGCATGCGACCGGAGCAATGGGACACAGGAAGGTTACGGGATCTCCAGTGAAAACAACTCCCAGCCCCTCTCCACCATATTTTGAGGTTTTTCACTGGTATTATGATGTCTGTACCTGAGCAGGGGAAAGGTTTTTTTCAGAGCACAAAAGTAGTACAGCTGTAAGTATATATACAGCTATAGGATATTTTTTCCCCTTTTACTCTTGACCCATACCACTTATCCATAGAGGGACCTATAACCAACGGAAGGTATGTAACAGTGTTTCCTCTCTTTGTGCCAGGTGAAGATATTGCTCATTCCCTTCTGACATTCAACTCCTACGACTAAAAAAGTTCAGGTTCCTTCACCAGGTAACAAAAGTTTTAGACACGTCAGCGGCACTCAGCAAACTGATCATGATATTAACACAGTACAGAGAAGATCAGATGGAAACCATACTGCTGTTTCATATGCAGCTGTTCCTTGCTCTACAAACTGAAGAAGGTGGAACTAAAGCCTCTCCGGTTTCACAATTTATGCTATTTTCATTTTTAACATGCAAAAACCAATTAATTTGTAGTGAACAATCTTTCTGTTTCTCTAAATAAAGCATAAAGACTGTTTATATCTCTTTGTCCATTTGTCAAAACGATATGTCAAAACGATAGTATGGGGAAACCACCATAATTATGGATAAATAGGACAAACTCACCCAGCAAGAAAATATTTAGATAGTCCATGCAGGCAACCACTTGTCTCCCCAATTATCATGTGACTAATCACTACACAGAAGACATTTCTTAAGCACGAGGAAGAGGTAGGATGCAATCATAACATGAATGGAAACAAGGTTGAGCCATCAAGGGGTTCATAAATGGCCACACATGGCAGGGGACAGATGGTCTCCTGCTCCCCAGTTCTGCACAGCATCACATGTTCCCTTCAAACCTTCTGTGCACCACAAAATACCTGGGATGGAAGGCCAAAGACCAGTCTCAGGGTCTGAGGAAAACATACTTTTCTCCAGTACAGCGGCTACTGGAAGGAAAGGAGAGAGCACATCACCTCACAACCAGCTCAACCTTCAAATCCACACCTGAATAAGTATACCCCCGCTGAGCACAACCTGCTTCTACACAGATCAGATTGTGATAACACCACTGCATTTGTTCCGACAAGACAGCCTGTATGAGTAACATGGCCCTGAATCTTTCATCTTAAAAGAAAAGATTTTTTTCTACTGAGACAAAAGTTCTTACCTTTTATCTCCCAAAACTTAACACACACACAAAAAAATATGTAGATAAAAATCCATTCTAGACAGCACTGAGCATTTGAGACTCATCTTCTATCAAGGAACACCAACATGCTCTTCCCCTGGAGCTGACTGACTATATTTTATGTGGTCAATACAGAACTGCTGTTCTCGGGTATTTTTATCACTATAACTATTTCACTCTTACAGTATCATTTGATGTTCCTAACCAGGAACCTCAGTTTCTAAGTAAACATACAAGCCAGATTGTTATCTCTTTTTATGATGTTTCCTGAGCACACATCAAGGCTTTTCTATCACTGATGAAGACTCATACGTAAGTACCTGTGCTGATTTAGGCTTTAGGTAGTTCCAGTGCAAATGAAGAATTAAAAATCTACAACCTCAATATAGATACACACTTAATATAGATGCAAGTGTCATTACAAGAAGCATCACCACAAATGCATCTGAAAAATATTTAAACTTCATTATACCAGATGACTAACACAACATCAGCTCTAGATGCATTGACATCCTCCTCACACATTCTTCATGATATGTTCAGAAGAAAAAAAAAAAAAAAACAACTCTTCAGCTTTCCACAACTTTATGGAAAATTTATGCATTGTACAAACAAGGCAAAGTGTATATGTTCATGCAAACACACATTTAGGCTCAGAATACCTGTTAAGCAAGAAACATTATTTTCATCTGAGCAATAGTCGGTTTATGTAATAAAATTCATGGCATTCCAGTTAAAGAACAAGGTGGTATTTGAAAGAATCAATGCATTCTATCCAAGCAAGGAAGAACTGCTCTGGATTTGATGTGGCTTATCTTTCCTACCAAAGGAGGGGACTGAGATACTCTACTCCTAAGTAGGTAGCCAGCTAGTCTCTTTCAGGAATCTCTTAATTTGTACATTTTCCAGATTCCTATGGAAATTTATAGAATTCCTGTGCTTCAGTAACAAAACCGCAGCTGCACGAGTTTTAAGAATAATTTGGAGTGAACTTCAGTAAATTCTGAAGGGGTTTTAACGATATGGGAAGTTAACTATTAGTCCAGTTTCATGTTGCGCAAGCAGTCAATTTGACCCAGGTACTTAAGAAGGCCTCGTCTGCTTCTCTGAGCTAATTTATTCAAGATCAGTGTAAGGTCCTTTGCTCTGAATTGCAAAGACTGAATTACTTCATGATATATACAAATCATCCTGCCCAAAATGATTTAAATAAAACTCATTTTAAAATATAACAGGTTCATTCATAACACTTAAAGCGGGAATTCATATGCTGCTTGGCTTACAATAAACTGAGCAGGCATATTAGTTTAAGAAACATCCCCATGAATCACTTTCCATCGTAGGCAGTTATGAGTTGTCTTCACCAAAAAAAAAGCCATAACAACTGCTTAATGATGCCTGCACTACTGTTACTACTATTATAACACTAAAGTCAATTAGCGTAAACGTTAGATTATGTAATCAGACAAACTAAAGTCAATTAGCGTAAACGTTAGATTACGTAATCAAAGACAGCTCAAAGAGCTATTTTGTAAAACTGGGAAGAAAAGGTTGACCTATCAACACTTCTAAGAATTAAAAGTAAAAATCTCTTTTTACACAGAGACAGCTCTGAGGTCATTGCTTTTTCCACACAAAATGTCAGAACTTAGGAGTAATGAATACTCCCCTAGTTATGTCAGTCCCCTGGAGAGCAGGAAACTCTCGCTTAGATCTTCCTTCTGCTTAAATTTGAACACTTGACCTAAAAAGTATAGACTAGGTAGCCCATCTCTCAAGTAAAGAATGCAAACACCTGCTGGTTTGACCAGCTGGACTATTTAACCCAGAATATGTGAGATTCTCCCACCAAAACAGTGATGAGAACTGGGGTGTTCCCACTGAATGCTCAATGCAGCATGTACAGAACCAGTTACTACACCCGATTGGAGCATTTTGCTGTCTGTGGTGACTTATTACTCCATTAAGAAGCCTCTTTTACCCCACAGCTCTCCTGGGTGGCCGTTGTACAAATAGCCCCTTCGCTTCTTTATTTTCAGATATTAAGTGCTTAGTCTGGCACAGTGTAGAAACGCCAGCTGCCACAACACATTTTCTCCTTCCAGTGACAAGAAGGAACACTTTCTACACTGCCAGGCAGACCCGAGGCTTCCTCTGGCTTCCCTCTGCAGCAGCCCCAAGAGGCTGAGTTTCCTTGTGTATCTGCTTGGAGTTTTTTCTTGAACGTACTTCAAACCTGCTGTAGACTATTATACCATTTCCTAGCTCTGCTATTTCTTGCTAAAAACGTAAATCTTGAAGTGCAAACAAAGCATTGCATATCACTGGTGCTTCACAAGACTGGATATTGTCAATAAGTTACTTAATTATTTTTCCTTGGTATAAACGCATTCCCAGACAGCCATGGTGTGGATTGCAATATATTTGGGGTAGGTCCAATGCTGCAGTTTACAAAAAACTATTTTAATACTCAAGCCTCAAAGCAAAGTCTTTGAGGTTTCATTTAAGAAGTCTGTGTCCTGATGGGTATTTCCCTCATATGAGCTACAGTGGATGTTTAAATGAAACAGCTGGGAAGTTTTTATGGATAACTCAGTAGTTACCCTGCAAACACCCCAAACCATTTCCTAAAAGAGGCTTTAGTATGAACACATAAAAAAGTTAAAGATAAGTGAAGATGTAAACACTTTGTAGTAGTAATGCAATCTTTCACAGTTAATTACATTAATACATAAAAAAGGCAATGATATTAAAATATAGTTTTATATATATATATATATAATTGTTTGCGTGATACCAGTTGCAGTTTCCAGTTCTTTGCTTAGGCACTTAAAACAGTGCCCTGACCAACAGCACAAATAAAGTAAGTGATCAACATATTTGAAACAACTGCCTCTGGTACCAAAATGCAACTGAACATAAGGCTACATTGAGTAAAATGGATTATTCTGTCTGCACATGAGCAAGTTAATGGTATGCTGCGGGAAGCAGTGATTTCTGCAGTATAGTAATTCTCCAAAATTAATTCTTATCACAAGCATTTTACAATAACTGATAAAATGCACATGTACCCATCTGCTTTTCATACTATGAACCTAATCCATTCTTACAAAACTGTTTTTGAAACTAACCTACAGCACTAAAACTGTACAAAACTGTATAAAATGGGCAAAGACAGCAACATTCTATTTTCACCTTGAGTATGTGAAAGCTTTGGGTATCGCCTCACCAGACAATAAAAATCAGTATTTCATAAAGACCGTTATCTAAGAAATAAAATTAGAAAAGTTTTACTTTACAGGGGATGAGATAAACTGAATTAAAAGGTCCCAGATGAAGAAGCCAGCTCAGGATGGAAAGTACTTTGATGCTTAATAGCTAATTTCACACTACTCAGGACAGCGTATCCAGTGTCTTTTCACTTCTGTCAACGCTACACAAGACATGCCCCAGGAGCACCTTGGCAACAGAGTCAGAAGGTTCTCATCCATCTGGGAAACACCTTGGGCTGGCTGAGGAACTTGTCTAATTCACATTCCTTCCTTGACACAGGTTGACCCCCAGGGAAACATGCTTCTTAGCCCGCTTGAAATACGAAATGACGTCAGCAGCAGCCTCCGCGACCCCCGAGCCACCACGTACACCTACGACAGTGCCAACCTGCAGTACAGAAGAGCCACTTCCAGCAGGGACCTCTACAGCAGGAGTGCTCTGGACAGGCACAGGCTTCATAACAAAGGACGCTTACGAAGAAGGGCATCCCAGATCAAAGTCAAAATCCCTGATTTGACTGATGTTAACTCGATAGACAAGTGGTCCAGAATGGTCTTTCCCATCACGTTTATTCTTTTCAATGTTGTTTACTGGCTGTATTATGTCCATTAATTTATACAATAATGTTGTCATCTAACATAATTGGACTTGTTTCTTTTCCTTTAAACTTTGTTAACTCTGAAGAACTGCAGTAGCCATAACATTACAAGTCCAAGGTAAGATAACCAGCCATCAAATACTTCTAAATTTAAGCTTTTAAAAAAAAAACACCAAACAACCCAAATCAGCATGACCACATTCAGATCAGAATAGTACAGATCTGCTCTTAAAGATCATCTTCAGCAAAAGCACTATAGCTTGATTTTTACAAAGAGTTTGTACATCGCTCATGAGGTGTCTGTACCCACTTTTTTTTTTAAATGGAATAAAAATTAGTCCTACTGTATTTCTTACCACATATTGGCAGCCCACAGCAGCATACTTCCAAACAAGACAGTCTTTCAGCATTTAGAATGCAGTTATTGAAGACATAACTGTTTGAAGGATTAAAACTACTACATCATGCATCATTTTGAAGTTAATAGTTACACTAGGAAGTATTTCCATAGTATCTGCGAGAAGTCAGTCAGTTCACATTTTCAGAGAGGCAGGGATCTTCAAAAGAAAAGAAAAGGCAGCAAAGACAAATCCCACTGAGTTTCCAACTAAGGAATCAGCTGATTGGATCTAACTGGAATTTTGTTATTTCCAAAAAGTAGCAAAGTTGAAAATGATGAGAACAATTGTGCCATCTGTAATTTTGTATTAAAAAGTAGAAAACAGACACGCGTTCATTCCTAGAAGCAACTACTGAGGGACACCCCAGCTCAAGAGTGGCCACTTTTCTTGATGCCCATGGCTGGTAATTGCAACACATTCTCCCAAAAGTTGGCAGATGTCAGGGAAGAGACCTGAGAGCTCTGCACACAGTTTCCTACAGATTTCCTGACTCCACTGAGGAGCAGGAGATACAGCTGAGTCCCATAGCACCCTGGTGATGTTGGGTACACTGCTCCTGAGGAGTTGCCTCTCCTTACCCAGCTCCTTACTCAGAACCACAGCCAAGGAGCTGTGGGAGAAGTGCTACCAAGCTGCATCCAGCTGAGGAGTGATAGGTCAGTCATCTCCTCCTATCTATGTCTGTATCAAATCCATTTCCCTTCTCTACTGCCAGCTTCAGATCACCACAGTCCAAAATATAGGGTCCATTCTCATGTACTGGGAGTCCTACAACACACGCCACCAATACAAACCTCATCCCTGCTGCCAGTATTGAACAGCACACATCAAGGCCTGGCTGTATCGAGAGCTGGAAGTCACGATCTTGAGAGAGAAAACAGCTGCCAGCTCTTGGCATGAAATTTTGCATCAGGGGCTAATAGTCGCACAACATACAGAGGCAAGAGCCACTTACTGCAGGTTGGCAGCATCTTAGCCCAGAGCCAGCATCTCCTGCCTCCCACTGAGATCCTCTCCACACATTTAACTACTAACTCTGGTAAAGAAAACAGAATTTGGCATACAAGCTCACAAGGCACACTGGATTTAAACTAAAGCCTCTTTTAAAGCCTCAAAAGAGAATTAAAACCAAAACTTGGGAACAGGGTGTAAAACCAGAGCTAGCACATTTTCCACTTTCCACTACTTTTAGAAAAAAAGCTTTCATTTGAGAGCAATAGCTTGGCAGCAAGGAAAAAACAATTATCAGAGGTATGGGATGGAAAAACGTGGCAATTTATGGGTTACCCATATACATTGCTATCTAGAGCTAGGAATTAGTGAGCACAAAAGAGAAACAACCTCATCAGTAGGTTGGTTTGACTCGTTTTAAGCAATAAAGGGGAATAACACAGTGATGGAGCTTGGCATTACAGTCGAATTTTGGTAGTTACTTTGCCTGCCCATAGGAACCACAAGCTCAGCATAGGTAAGGTCCTATTGCTAATTAAGTTTCAGGTAAAGCACCTCACAATTTGTGCTGCTGTTTCATGCAATTTGTGAGTTTGAATAGATTATTTAAAGAATTTTGCAAGTCCTTTTTAGCTAGCTTTCCCAAAGACAAGAGCTTCTACTGTCACTGAGTGTGTGCGTTCGTGTGCTTGTGCTAGAGTCTCCCAATAAAATTTGAATCTATTAGCAGTTTCAATCAAAAGATAACAGAAGAGTATGGATCCAGGAGATAACACATTCCTTCAAGTTTCAACAAAGCAGGTAGCTGAGCAGAGGATAAAGCTCCTTCTTAATCCATCCCTTTTCTCTGGGAGAAAGGGATTCAATGAACCCCAAGCTTATTAGTCATCACAGAACCCACATGGGAGGGCAATTCAATACCCAGATACATGGGGAAATAAGGTTCATTGGTTTCCATGATCCTGAAACTATTTATTCCACACTTACAATGATCTTTTAATCTCGTTCTAATCTTACTTCTCTTCAGCAGTATCCTACCCTGACTATGAAGAAGCAGTCAGTGGCTAAACCAGCAGCATCTTTGGAGCACCTATTTCTTTGAGAGCAGAGTAAATTAAATAGCTCCTCTGTGCTTGTCCAGGGCTTCAAACTAGGATGGAGCCAGCCAGGAGACTGCAGTGATTTTGGTCACCTCTCTAATATCAATCCAGCTGAGTAGCCAGCCTGTGAACCCTCCTTGGATGAGCAAAACCATGGATTTACAAGAGCCTTATCACTGTGATGGCAGGCACAAGAGCTGGGATCAGCCCAAAACTGTGTGAGAGTCAGCTCCAGTCACTCTGAAGGATAAACCAAAACCCTTCCACCTCACACAATTCAAACAATTAAGGAGGAATAGCAATAGTGGTAGATAAGATCTTAAAACACCACAAAAAAAGGACCTTTTCAATATCACAGGAGTATTTATGACAACATTCCTTTGCTCGATGCTACCACTGAACAGCAGAAGCTGCTGTTTCAGAGTTATCCACTGGTTCACCTTGTTCACCCTTATACAAAATGTTCCATCCCCTTGTGCTGCTAACACCGCCTTGGAAGTATTTGTCAAAAAAGGGCTGTGTTATATCTGTTGCATACAAAAATATTTTAAAATGGTTTCTGCATTGAAAAGCATAAAAACAACATCTGTGATTGTATAAGTAAGTTTCTTCCAACCCCATAATCCCAAAGAAGACAGGAGGTCATAGAACAATATTTAATTTCAGAATGTGATGATACTGAAATGTATATGCACAGGGTGAAAGAATTAAGAGACAAGTGAGAAATCTGGCATTTTTTAAAGGAAGACTGCGTGATTTTGATCTACTTACTGTCTTAGGAGTGCAGAGTGAATTATGTTGTCTGCTCCTTGGCATGTTTGTTTCTCAATTTTAAGTCATTTTGAGTCTCCAAGTGTTAGAAAAACATCACCTAGTGCCAGTCTAAGAAATGGTATGGTAGTCATTCTTTTACACTTTTATTCTTGGCAAAATCATGGAGTGTTCATTACCAATTAGGAGCTAAGATAACTACATGGCAGCAGAACCATGTTATCTCTCTGAAGACGGTCTCTGATCAATAATGTCTTTTAACTCATCACTGCCTATCTGTATATACACAGTCTTAAGAGGAAAGCATAAAATATCAACCACGAAAAATGTTCATAAAGATGGCTTCCTTTGGCAGATTATGCATTTCAGTGAGAGCATCAGCAACCTTGTTGGAATCTCTGAACATGTCAGTTTCCTCGTTCCCATATCTGAAATGTCATTTGCTGTTTTGATGCAGCTGGCAACATATTATCTGATTTTTTTTTTTAGATTCTCAGAAGCAACCAACTTTGAATATTGTGTGCTGCAGAAAATAGCAGCATTACAAAGGAAAGGTAGCAAATCATCATTTCAAGAAAGAGCTCGATGAGACTTTGGCATAGGTAAAGAGTTCGGGATTACATTTTACAAAGGCAGTTAATAGCAGCTCTCATCACATCATCCATCTAAATCAATATTAAAAGAAATATGAGAGGTCTGAAATCTCTGCATTCCCAAGAAACAAAAATTCCTTCTTTTACTGTAGCCATTAAAATAAAAGTTATTTAATCTATACGATGCTAGGGATCCTTCCCCCCCTCAAGACAGTCCACCACCAAAGCAGTACCTGTGGACCTGCAGTACTTTCCAGTTAAAGTCTCCATACTCTCTGGTGCCTTTCATTATCGTATTGGCTAAATCAGCTGACTAATCTGATACTAAAAAATAGCCACAGCCCTCTCGATGTAGGACTCTCATTGGTGTTAGCACATATGAAGAGTACCTTTGAGTAAAATTCCCAGCCGTAGACAGCACGAAGAGCTGATCATCCAGTATGTCCTGCGCAAACCAGCATCCAAACACAAGGTTCTGCTCCTGCAATGATCTCTCCACGGAGCAGCCTGATGATGTGAACCACGCAGGCTAGCAAAAGTCCAAAGGATGAATCTTTGTGAGATTTGTCTCCTCCTCTACATTTTGGTAGTAGTCTCTTGGTCTTTCTGGAGAGGTCCTGAAGAAAAATATAAACTATAAATTTACAGAGGGAAGCACAATATAATGCCAAATGTAATTAAGGTGGATTTAAAAAAGTAAAAAACTTTATAGACTACCTTGAGACACTTATGAAAGCATTCTCCAGTAGCAGAAGAATAAAAAATCCCTTTATTTCTGCTACTTCATTATGATTATTAATTCACAATGCAAAGTGATAGCAAAGCTTGCATACTTCAGGACAAGGTGTTACTGGTTCCTAAAACCACCTTTCAGATGAAAGCATAATTATGATTCAGTGTGTTTCTTATTAGAAAGGCTTGCTCCAGAACTCAGAAAGGTTCTAAAGGCTTATATATATATTTTAAAAACACACCTTGACATACACAATTGCTTTGTTGCGCCTTTATTTCTGCTACTTCATTATGATTATTAATTCACAATGCAAAGTGATAGCAAAGCTTGCATACTTCAGGACAAGGTGTTACTGGTTCCTAAAACCACCTTTCAGATGAAAGCATAATTATGATTCAGTGTGTTTCTTATTAGAAAGGCTTGCTCCAGAACTCAGAAAGGTTCTAAAGGCTTATATATATATTTTAAAAACACACCTTGACATACACAATTGCTTTGTTGCGAAAGCAGTTTTATTACAGCAGTCACTTCCATATCGACAGTTCACTGGTCAGATCCAATTCTGATTCACTTCAGTGTGCCAAGATCAGAGATGAAATGGTTGATTAAGAAAAACATGTTTTTTCTGAAGTCAAGGGAAGATTTCTATGAAATGGAGAGAAGTGCAAGGAACGCCAATGGAGGGCAAGTAACATTTTTATAATTCACTTTTATATTTTGTATCAAGATATGCTGCATTTTCTGATTCAAATTACAGGTCTGTTTACGCAGCGTGAATTTCTGTAGGTGCTTTTCACATGTTGAAATTAAAACTTCATACAGCGTGTCCATTATATGTACTATTTTCATTAGTTCAAAGGGCCTACGCACAAAAATTTTGTTTCTGGTCTTAATTACATGCTTAAGAGGTCCCTACATAGTACCTGCAAAACCACAGAGGTTTCACCACTGTATTTATGATAGTTTTTTTTCTTTTTTTTGGTCTATGCAACCATGGGATCCAGGAGTGAGCTGCTCTGCAGGGGTAAACACCAGGAGAATACGAGCACATGTCCCTGAAGTACCTAATTCTCAGGACAGCAACAGAAGGAAACCAGCTACTGACAGACAGTACAAAGTACAGAGCAGCAAGCTGTCTTCTCCACTTTGTTGTGTCCTTTTCCTTTCCAGCTACTGGAGGCCATTACATCCTTTGTGAGGACAGTTTGCTCCTCTGTAGGCATGTAAGGTGAGGACACACCTCTCAAATGTGGTTCCATGACAATCATGTTTTAGCTGCTCAACAGCCTGTCAACTGGTGCTCCTCTCCCTCTCCAGCCATTCACATGGTGGTGTTATGCTCCCTGTCAAAAACATCATTTTGATAGTTATATAAATAACAGTCAGACTTTCAATAAAGTCTAACACCCACAAAAAAGCAGCTCATTGCACATTTATTGCTGTCACTGTAACAGAAATTGTCTTGTATTCTTTTTTTAAAGCAAAAGAATTCATTGAAAGACTATTCTTCAGCCTTTCCTGTTCAGTGCTGCAGCAAATACAGGACAAACATAGGATGATACAAAAGATTAACCACCACCATATACCTTTAGAGTAATTATAAATGCATTTTTCCATAACTTGCTATAAAATTTCAAATGAAACTATGTAAACTTTAAGTCTCTAATACTAAGAAACAGTCACAAATATTTTTAAATAGCATTGACATTTTTAAAATATTATTTTCTATCAGCTAGATATGGGGCAGATTTTGCAAGAGAAGTTTCATATGTTGAACATAAAAATGTAAGTTATCATTTGTGGCCTTTTATTGTTGAGAAAATGGAGAACTTCATTTTGAAAAATGAAGTTCTCCAAGAGAAGTTTCATATGTTGAACATAAAAATGGATGTTATCATTTGTGGCCTTTTGTTGTTGAGAAAATGCAGAACTTCATTTTGAAAAATTTACTGTGGTTTTGAACAATTGATCTTTGAAAACTAAGAGGTAGCAACACGGAAGTTCTCTTCAGCAACATACTGCAAAGTAAGTTTTAAATATCCACCTTAATATTCTTCGAACTGCAGACTTTCTAGGTATCTGCTTTCTTAAATGTGTTCACATTATACATCTATAAATTGTATGAATGGATGAGCACACAAGCGTCTTCTATTCAAAAAATACATCCCAAACTTGATAGTGTACTTGATGAAATAAATTGCCAGCTCTTTATTATTTCTGCTGCTGTAAAGGAATAATTTTCAGTCCTTTTGTCCTAAAAGATAAAAACCGTGCCAATAAAAAAGTCAGTTAAAAAAAAAATCAGATACCAAATATTAAGCCTCTTTTACTTACAAAAGCCTTTTAGCAACAAACGCTGTCACAGTGTAATGAAAGCTAAAGCAGCTACACCTTCAAGCTGCATCATATGACTCACGAAGCATTTAAACACATAAGGCCATATCAAAATAATATAGTCATTCTTCTATAAAGTGACTAGATCTAGATCAAAGGGAGAAGTGGGATCATAGCAAATCTATCTATGAATAAATAGACCTGACAAATTTATTCCTTAAAGTCACAATTTAAAAAACCAGCACGCTCCTGAAGGGACTACTGGACAACCAGCAGCACCACGAAAAATGTTCATAAAGATGGCTTCCTTTGGCAGATTATGCATTTCAGTGAGAGCATCAGCAACCTTGTTGGAATCTCTGAACATGTCAGTTTCCTCGTTCCCATATCTGAAATGTCATTTGCTGTTTTGATGCAGCTGGCAACATATTATCTGATTTTTTTTTTTAGATTCTCAGAAGCAACCAACTTTGAATATTGTGTGCTGCAGAAAATAGCAGCATTACAAAGGAAAGGTAGCAAATCATCATTTCAAGAAAGAGCTCGATGAGACTTTGGCATAGGTAAAGAGTTCGGGATTACATTTTACAAAGGCAGTTAATAGCAGCTCTCATCACATCATCCATCTAAATCAATATTAAAAGAAATATGAGAGGTCTGAAATCTCTGCATTCCCAAGAAACAAAAATTCCTTCTTTTACTGTAGCCATTAAAATAAAAGTTATTTAATCTATACGATGCTAGGGATCCTTCCCCCCCTCAAGACAGTCCACCACCAAAGCAGTACCTGTGGACCTGCAGTACTTTCCAGTTAAAGTCTCCATACTCTCTGGTGCCTTTCATTATTGTATTGGCTAAATCAGCTGACTAATCTGATACTAAAAAATAGCCACAGCCCTCTCGATGTAGGACTCTCATTGGTGTTAGCACATATGAAGAGTACCTTTGAGTAAAATTCCCAGCCATAGACAGCACGAAGAGCTGATCATCCAGTATGTCCTGCGCAAACCAGCATCCAAACACAAGGTTCTGCTCCTGCAATGATCTCTCCACGGAGCAGCCTGATGATGTGAACCACGCAGGCTAGCAAAAGTCCAAAGGATGAATCTTTGTAAGATTTGTCTCCTCCTCTACGTTTTGGTAGTAGTCTCTTGGCCTTTCTGGAGACGTCCTGAAGAAAATATAAACTATACATTTACAGAGGGAAGCACAATATACTGCCAAATGTAATTAAGGTGGATTTAAAAAAGTAAAAAACTTTATAGACTACCTTGAGACACTTATGAAAGCATTCTCCAGTAGCAGAAGAATAAAAAATCCCTTTATTTCTGCTACTTCATTATGATTATTAATTCACAATGCAAAGTGATAGCAAAGCTTGCATACTTCAGGACAAGGTGTTACTGGTTCCTAAAACCACCTTTCAGATGGAAGCATAACTATGATTCGGTGTGTTTCTTATCAGAAAGGCTTGCTCCAGAACTCAGAAACATTCTACAGGCTTATATAGATCTTTTAAAAAACACAGCTTCTTGACATACACAATTGCTTTGTTGCAAAAGCAGTTTTATTACAGCAGTCACTTCCATATCGACAGTTCACTGGTCAGATCCAATTCTGATTCGCTTCAGTGTGCCGAGATCAAAGATGAAATGGTTGATTAAGAAAAACATGTTTTTTCTGAAATCAAGGGAAGATTTCTATGAAATGGAGAGAAGTGCAAGTAACGCCAATGGAGGGCAAGTAACATTTTTATAATTCACTTTTATATTTTGTATCAGGATATGCTGCATTTTCTGATTCAAATTACAGGTCTGTTTACGCAGCTTGAATTTCTGTAGGTGCTTTTCACGCGTTGAAATTAAACTTCATACAGTGTGTCCATTATATGTACTATTTTCATTAGTTCAAAGAGCCTATGCACAAAGTTTTGTTTCTGGTCTTAATTACATGCTTAAGAGGTCTGTACATAGTACCTGCAAAACCACAGAGGTTTCACCACTGTATTTATGATGGTTGTTTTCCTTTTTTTTGGTCTATGCAACCATGGGATCCAGGAGTGAGCTGCTCTGCAGGGGTAAACACCAGGAGAATACGAGCACATGTCCCTGAAGTACCTAATTCTCAGGACAGCAACAGAAGGAAACCAGCTACTGACAGACAGTACAAAGTACAGAGCAGCAAGCTGTCTTCTCCACTCTGTTGTGTCCTTTTCCTTTCCATCTACTGGAGGCCATTACATCCTTTGTGAGGACAGTTTGCTCCTCTGTAGGGATGTAAGGTGAGGACACACCTCTCAAATCCAGTTCCATGACAATCATGTTTTAGCTGCTC